GGTTCGTTAAAATTCGAGTTTGTCTCGATCGACATTTGCGGCTGATGGAGTCCAAAGAAGAAAGCGCTAATCTGCCCTGTGGCCTGTGCCCCTGCAGCGCATGACGTGGGGATATCGTGTCGCACCATCTGAAGGGAAACGAGGGTCAGGAATTTAATCACTGCAGCTATCACTGTTCAGAGGAGTTTGTGCGTGAGTGTTGGGGGTTTGGAGGGTCACAGGGAGCATCATCTGCTCCTTTCTATTATCTTCACTCCAGCTCTGTTTCAACGTAACATCAGGACAGAAATGTAAGACACAGAAGCCATTTTCACAAACTAGACGAAAAAAACTCTTTTTGCATTTAAAGCCGTCTGCGATGACTAATCAGTATTTAAAATTACAGGTGCTAAGAGGGATTCCTTATAGTATAAACAGAAATATAAAGAATTATATGATTACATTCATCAAAGTATGAATCTCGCAACTATTTTCATGGCTGACTGCTCTGAGAAATAATGATCTGATATATCATCATGTGGCCTGAAAGTTTTCCAGAGCTCAAGTTGAAGCCCACAGCTTCAAAGCCAATTTCTAAAAAGCTGCGTGTCAAAAAATTACAACATTTCTTTTAAATAAATACATAACAGGATAGAGAGACAGATTTTGTCTCGAACTCTAAACTAATTCCATTTTTTATTTTATATGACAGCTACACACTCTAGAGGAGACCAATAGATTCCCTTTCTGGTTAACTGACATTATAAATGACTTTATCTACTAGTGTTTCACACATGATAAGAATATCAGTGATAGATTTTCTTTCCCTCTTCACATTCTAAATTGTGTTTTTTTTGGTAACGTAGTATAAAAATAAAAGATTATTTATGCTCTGAGTTCGAGATGCTTTACGAACGTGATGATTTCAAGGTGGAACACGTTAATCTGAAGTCTTTCTGGCATATTCTAAATCAGACCCACGAGACGCAGGAGTGAGCCCGGCAGCCTGGTTTGGTTTTAAAACTCAGTCTGACATCTAGAGGCTGGATCGCTCGGCACATCAGCCTGCAGCTCTGACTCAGAACATTTCTGAGATTTCACAATTTTGTCAAAGAACCTGACTCACACTTTGTCCAGTACCATCTCCTCCTGTGCACGTGCCTCGTGATGCTTCTGTAAACATGTTTAGACTTGAGCACTCGTCATTGCATTTTCCCACAGTCGCTGCACA